AATGTAGCCAAGTTTTTTGAGTCAAAAAATGACTTCTGGTCTAATCCTCAGTGAAGTTCTCATTTCTACCTGAAACCTTATGGACAGACTTTACTATCTGTGTTTCTATCGGCTTTCTGGTCTTCTGAGCTGCCACCAGAATTGCCCATTAACCTGTGCTTGTTGCATCCTATGGATATCCTTTTTCTAGCTAACTCTTTAAAATTTCTCCTATAAACCAGCTCCAGAGGCTCAGGGACTATATGTCAGGTACAACATAGTTTTTGTGGTACTGGGGAGCCAATCCAGGCCCTTGTGTGTGTGGTATTAGTACTCTTCAACTAAGTCACATCTCTAGCCCCAGTAACATAATTTTAAACATGGAAAACCCTGTTAAATTAGAGTTTGATTCTGATAGCAGCAGTTTTCATTATTCATACAAACCACTGATTAAATTTGTCATTATAAAATTTTGTGTGTGTGTGTGCGCGCGCGCATATCCTTAGGTTTTCAACTCAAGACTGGCACTCTACCAATTGGAGATGAGTGTCTCATGGGCTTTCCTGCCTGGATCAAACACAATCCTCATATCTCAGACACCTGAGACACCAGCACTTGGCTAATATGTGGCAAAATCTTGGGAATCTTGTTCTCTTTTTATTTTTTGTCAGTTGTGGGTCTTGAACTCTGGTCCTAGGTCCTGTCCCTCAGCTCTTCAGCTCAAGGCAAACGCTCTACTGCTTGAGCCACAGTGCCATTTCCAGTTTTCTAGTGGTTTATTGGAGATAAGAGTCTTACAGTTTCCTGCCCGGGCTGTGATCCCCAGAGTAGCTAGGATTATAGGCGTGAGCCACCAGCATCTGGCTTCCTGTTACCTTTTTTAAAACAAAAAAATTTATTCATTTCACAAATCAGAACGAGTTATATCATTATTTTCTGCTTGCATTAAAAATAGTGATAAAAGCCAGGCACCCAAGTAAGTGGCTCATGCCTGTAGTCGTAGCTACTCAGGAAGTTGAGACTTGAGGATCAGGTTTGAAGCCAGCCAGGGCAGGATAGTCTTTGAGGTTATTTTATTTTATCTTGCCAGTCCTAGAGCTTTAACTCAAGGTCTGGGCACTGTCCCTGAACTTCTTTTGCTCAAGGCCAGCACTCTACCACTTGAGCCATAACACCACTTCTGGCTTTTTCTGTTTATGTGGTACTGAGGACTCAAACCCAGGACTTCATGCATGCTAGGCAAACACTCTACTACTAATCCACATTTCCAGCCCTCCATGAGATTCTCTTTTTTTTTTTGGTCCGGTCGTGGGGCCTGAACTCTGGGCCTGGGCGCTGTCCCTCAGCTCTTCAGCTCAAGGCTAGCGCTCTGCCACTTGAGCCACATCGCCACTTCGGCTTTTTTCTTTTTGCTTATGTGGTGCTGAGGAATCAAACCCAGGGCCTCAGGCATGCAAGGCAAGCACTCTACCACTGAGCCACCTTCCCAACCCCTCTCTTTTTTTTTTTTTGCCAGCCCTGGAGCTTGAACTCAGGGCCTAGGCACTGTCCTTGAGCCTCTCTGTGCTCAATAGTGCTCTACCACTTGAGCCACAGCGCCACTTCTGTTTTTTTCTGTTGATGTGGTATTGAGGATCGAACCCAGGGCTTCATACATGCTAGGCAAGCACTCTACTACTAAACCACATTCCCAGCCCCCTCTATGAGATTCTTATTTCCAATAATTACCAAAATGTCGGGAATGGAGCCATGGCTCATTGTAGAGCACTAACCTTGACCAATAAAACCTCAGGGTCAGTACCAGTGCGCGCGCGCGCGCACACACACACACACACACACACACAAACACACAAAAGAAGATAGTGATAAAGTTAAATTTTGTATGAGCTTTCTATTTATGATCTCTTATTAATAATGCAATGGTCTTGCTATGATCTGAACAGGAACGAGTCCAAAAGACCTTTCCTCATCCAATTGATAAGTGGGCTATTGCTGATGCACAATCTGCCATAGAGAAAAGAAAACGAAGAAATCCTCTTTTACTGCCTGTAGACAAAATCCATCCTTCATTGAAGGTAATATAAGATTAGACATTAGGAAAACTCTTTATAATATGTAATACTTTATATAGTATTGGAGTATTTATATAGTTACTGTGTTCTGTTGTGTATATGCACTCTTATGTATGTACTTACACATGTACATATATACACTATATATATATATATATATATATATATGTTGTATAAAATAAAAATAAGGTTAGTGTGTAGGTCAGTGGCATAGCATGTATTTAGTATGTATGAGACTTTAGGTTCAAACTCCAGCCTCTTTTCCTAACAAAAGAACAAAAGAACAAAAAAATGTATTCTGATGAAATAGATTGCCTTTCAAATAATCAGGGCAAAAAAAAAAATAATCACAAATGATCATTATAAATTGTGGCATCTTGGTGGTATCTCTCAATGACTACTACTTCTGGGGGTCCGGTCGTGGGGCCTGAACTCTGGGGCTGGGCACTGTCCCTCAGCTCTTCAGCTCAAGGCTAGCACTCTATCATTTGAGCCACAGTGCCACTTCTGGCTTTTTTTTTTTTCTGCTTACATGGTGCTGAGTAATTGAACCCAGGGCCTCATGCATGCAAGGCAAGTGCTCTACCACTGAGCCACCTTCTCAGCCCTCAATGACTACTACTTCTAACTGGTTCCTATGTAGTAAACTTAGGATTCTCAATCATTTATTGTTGAAAAAATATGTAATGTCAAAATCTACTGTAAGGTCAGAACTGTTTTAAAATTAATCTCTAATATAGATTTTTTTCTGCATATTGAATAAGTAGACTAGATAATATTTCACTGTGGGCTTTTTTGTTTCTCTAAATTATTGTGCTGGTATTGGAACTTGAACTTTGGGCATGGGCACTGTTCTTGAGCCTAGTGCTTTACCACTTGAGCCACAGCTCCATTTCTGGCTTTTTGTGATTAATTGGAGTTGAGTCTCTCAAACTTTTCCTGCCTGGGCTGGCTTTGAAACACTATCTTCAACTTCCAGCCTCCTAGAGAATTAAGATTATAGGTATAAGCCACCAATGCCCAAATGATAATGTTTTAATCTATGAAATATACTTGGCTGTACATAGATTTGAAGACCCTTTTGTAGCAATTTCAAGATTCTTTCACCTCTCCTCCAAATGAAACTAGATTAAATAAAGGATAATGTTTTAGTTTTTTTTTTGGTTTTTGTTTTTTTGGTTGGTTATGGGGCTTGAACTCTAGGCCTGAGTGCTGTCCCTGAGCTCTTCGGCTCAAGGCTAGTGCCTTGAGCCACAGTGCCACTTCCCAGCTTTTCTGTTTATGTGGTGCTGAGGAATCAAACCCAGGGCCTCAAGCAAGGCAAGCACTCTACCACTGGGCCACCTTCCCCACCAAAGGTACTGTTTTTAAAAGCAAGGTTCTTGAAGAAAGGAGATATTAATGTTTAGTGCAAGATTTCTGTGTTAGATCTTGTAAACTTATTAAATAGTTCTTGAAAAAAGAAGCCTGTAATCCTCAGCTCAAAAGCTAAATTTGTATCTTGTGCTTTCTATTAATTGAGACATTTGCTTTATAGAGAGTTATTTATAAACATGATGTTAAAGAGGAATTTATTTTCTTTTAGTTCTGAGGATTAAATCCAGGATCCTTTGAATATATGTATTTTGTCACTGAGATAATATCTTCCCTCCCAAGCACCCTTAAGTAGAATGTTTAAAGTTATTTAACTAGTACTTGACAGTGCTGTCTTAAAAAATCAAATTGTTTGGAAGTGGCGCTGTGGCTCAAGTGGTAGAGTGCTCACCTTGAGCTGAAGAGCGCAGGGACAGAGCCCAAGCCCAGAGTTCAAGCCCCACGACCAAAAAAAAAAAAAAAAAAAAAAATCAAATTGTTTTTTTTTTCCCCCCCACAGGAAGTTCTGGGGTATAAAGTAGACTATCATGTGTCCCTATATATTGTGGCTGTACTAGAGTATATCTCAGCAGACATTTTGAAGTTGGCTGGTAATTATGTTTTTAATATTCGACATTATGAAATATCTCAACAGGACATTAAAGTGTCAATGTGTGCAGATAAGGTAAGTAAGTTTAAAAAGCATTTAAACTTGACTTGAATAATAGCAACTAAAGGTCTTTTCTCCTGTGTCTTTTTGTTGTTGTTGTTGTTGTTCACTTTTTTTGTTTGTTTTGTTTAATTTGCTGGTTTTGGGGCTTAAACTCAGGGCCTGAGTGTTATCCCCAAGCCATTTTGCCCTGGGCTAGTGCTATACTATTTGAACCACAGCTCTACTTCTAGCTTTTAGTGGTTAATAGTAGCTGATAGTCTCATAGACTTTCCTGCCCAGTGTAATGTCAAACCATAATTCTCAAGATTCCAGTCTTCTAAATAGCTAGAATTATAAGCATGGGCTATTGGCACTTGGATCCTCTATATTTTATTTATTTATCTTAGACTCACTTTTCTATGGTACCTGGGAATTGAACACAGGGCTCATATATGCTAGGCAATGTTCTGCCAACCACTGCCCACTGAACTATACCTTTAAGCCCCTTTAGTCTTTTTAATATTTTTATTTTGTTTATTTTTGTCGGTCATAGGTCTTGAACTCTGGGTCTGGGTGCTGTCCCTGAGCTCTTCAGCTCAAAGCTAGCATTCTACCACTTGAGCCACAGTGCCACTTCCGGTTTTCTGGTAGTTAATTGGAGATAAGAGTCTCACAGATATTCCTGTCTGGGCTGGCTTTGAAATGCAATTCTCAGATCTCAGCCTCTTGAGTAGTAAGGATTATAGGTGAGAACCACCAGCACCCAGCAATATTTGTATTATATCATTTGAACCAAGGTATTCATTAATAAATATAGTAAGACAGAGAAATTTTATTTTACTCTTTTTTTAATCAGCATACATTAGTAGTATTAGAGAGTTTCATTGTGATAATTTAAACAGAATTTTCTTAAGCAGGTAAGATTTACATCAAGAGTCATCTAGGACTGTGTCCTGCAATGTTTGTTTTCTCAGTCATTGTCCACAGGACCCTGAGAAGCTGTAGGAACATGCAAGTGTATACTTAAGGCCCACCTTCTTCTCCATCATTCAATTGTGGAATGCAGCTGTACCTCATAGGGCAGAGCCCTGTGTTCCCTTATGCCACTTGGGCAGAGCCTGAGGAGAGGACCTCCTGGTCAATCCTTTTTAAATACATAATTGTATTAGTAAGTTTTATTATTCCTGATATTGGAAGACAGAAAAAAAATACTGGCTTTATAAAGTAACCATGATTCCAGATTTTTGCCACACTGTGATTTGAACTCAGAGCCTTATGCCTGCTGGGCAGGTGCTCTACCATTTGAACCATGACTCTAGTCCTTTTTTACATTTCATCATTTTTTTATAGATGGTTTTGCATTTTTTGTGCATTATGGTCCCAGACTGCCTCCCTATGCCTATCATGTAGATGGGCTCACAGATATGTGCCACATGCCTGGTGTGTTTGAGAGAGAGTCTGCTAACTTTTTGTCCAGGCCAAGTACTCTAGTACTTCTCATTGTTTGATAATGTCATAATATGAAGTATAAAGATGACTTTATAAAAGGGAAAGAACTTTGTACATTCATGATTTATATTTCTCAGGTCTTGATGGACATGTTTGATCAGGATGACATAGGTTTGGTTTCTCTCTGTGAAGATGAACCTAGTTCTTCAGGTGAATTAAACTACTATGACCTTGTGAGGACTGAAATTGCAGAAGAAAGACAGTATCTACGAGAGTTAAATATGATCATAAAAGTATTTCGAGAGGCCTTTCTTTCTGACAGAAATTTGTTTAAGCCTTCTGTAAGTATTTTTGAGGATTTGAAGTTCTGTATACCCCTAGATAGGAGTTTAAAAAGCATCTATATGTACTAGTGTTATTTACTAGTATATAAAAATGATCTTTTATATATTTGTGGATTTCAGTATGAGTTATACACTATAACAAGTGTATTGCCAATGAAACTGGACACACAATTAAAAGGGGGATTTATACTGACAGGATAGCTTTTTCTGCATCATAGTATATGAGATTTAGTCAGATTAATAAGATTTAGTAGGTCAGTTGGAAGTAATGAAAAGAAAAATCTATGTTTTTACCCATCTTTTGGCAAATACTTTAAGCCTGTAAAGTTTTTTTTTAAATTTTTTAATTTAATTTAATTTTTTTTGTGAACATACTGTACAGAGGGGTTACAATTACATGGGCGGGATAATGCATACATTTCTTATCAAGCATTGCAACCTCCTCCTTTGTTTACCCTTCACATTCCTTCCCTACCTCCCCCCTACCCCCCCCCCCCCCAAAAGCCTGTAAAGTTTTAATAGTGGAATTCTTTTTTTCTTTTCTTTTCTTTTTTTTTTTTGTCAGTAGTGGGGCCTGAACTCTGGGCCTGAGTGCTGTGCCTCAGCTCTTCAGCTCAAGGCTAGCACTCTACCACTTGAGCCACAGTGCCACTTCTGCCTTTTTTTTTTTTTTTCTGCTTATGTGGTGCTGAGGAATGAAACCCAGGGCCTCATGCATGCAAAGCAAGTGCTCTTCCACTGAGCCACCTTCTCAGCCCAGGAATTTTTTAAATTTAAAATTTACTTAATTTTATTTTTTACCTGTCCTAGTACTTCATATCTGGGCCTGAGTGTTACACCTGAGGTTGTTTTTTTTTTTTTTTTTTTGGGGGGGGGGGGTCCGGTCTTGGGGCCTGAACTCTGGGCCTGGGCGCTGTCCCTCAGCTCTTCAGCTCAAGGCTAGCGCTCTACCACTGGAGCCACAGTGCCACTTCCGGATTTTTTCTTTTTGCTTATGTGGTGCTGAGGAATCGAACCCAGGGCTTCAGGCATGCAAGGCAAACACTGTACCACTGAGCCACCTTCCCAGCCCCCACCTGAGGTTTTTTTGCTCAGGGCTATCACTCTGCCATTTGAGCCAAAGCTCCACTTACGGCTTTTTTTGATGGTTAATTGAAGATAAATGTCTCATAGATTTTCTTGTCAGGGCTGGCAAGAACCACATGACAAGAACCACGATCCTCAAATCTTGGCCTCCTGAGTACAGATGTGAGCTACCAGCTCCCAGCTTTCTTAGATAGTTTTAGAACATTGAGATAAAATATTGAGATGCCAGAATTCTTTATGTAAAGATTCTTATAATTTATGAAAGAAAGCTATGTAGAGGTTATATTTTTCCATTATGTTTATGGTCTATAACCCAGGAGATTTCACTGTTCCTTCAAATCTATGAGATTGGTTGATAACGCATCCATAACACTTACTTTCTATTTTTATGTAGTAATTTGTGGATGCAATGCTCAACCTTAAATGCCTTTACTTTTCTGTTTCTTTTTCAGGACATTGAAAGGATTTTCAGTAACATTTCAGATATACATGAATTGACTATGAAACTTTTAGGTTTGATTGAAGACACTGTTGAAATGACTGATGAAAGTAGTCCTCATCCCTTAGCTGGCAGCTGTTTTGAAGATTTAGCAGAGGTAAGTTTGTAAAATTACTTTAAATGTCTAATTCCTATATTAAGAAATTTAGTAAGCTATTCTTTGTGAAAAACTAGAAGAAACTGCTGGCTATTGTTAAAAATACTTAAAATTTAACTAATAGCAAACTTAAATTACACTGCTTATATTTTTAGTGACACTTTTTTTCTGTTATTTATTTTTGAAATAGGATCTCTGTTGACTGGCCTTAACACCCAATCCTCCTGCCCTCAGTCTCCCAAGGATTACAGAGTTCAGTTAGTAACATTTTCATTTAAAGAGACTTCTACTAAACCCAAGCTAATGCCTAGATTAGGCATACTTTGTTTCACTTCAGGCTTTATATATATCTGGGTGTGCCTTTCCACCCCAGCCATGCTTCTTTTTTTGGTCGTGGGGCTTGAACTTTGTCCTTCAGCTCTTCAGCTTTAGGCTGGAGTTCTACCACTTGAGCTATAGCGCCACTTCTGGCTTTTTTCTGCTTACGTGGTGCTGAGGAATCAAACCCAGGACCTCAGGCATGCAAGGCAAGCGCTCTACCACTGAGCCACCTCCCAGCCCTTGGCTTGTTCTTGAGATAGAATCTTGCTAACTTTTACCAGAGCTGCTTTGAACTGTGATTCTCCTATCTTGCTTCCCTAGTTGTTACGATTATAGGCATGAGCCACCCTACCCAGCTTATAGCTTTTAAATATGAACAGTACTGTTATCCATTAGATAGTAGGTCTCCCTCCAACACTACACTAGACACATTTTTTTTTACTGTGTCTTTATAATCTAATGATTTTTAGGATTTTAGGATAGAGATTAAGTACAGTTTTAGAACTTTAAAACATTTTTCCAAATTTACATCAGATACTTTCCAATGTATTCAAGTTCTGTTTCTTCACTGATTCTGAGTATTATCCCACTCATTTTTGCAAGTTTAATGAGAAAAAAAATTTCCAACTGTATGTCATCCTTATAATTATTTAGACAGTCATTATTAGGGGCTGGGAATGTGGTTTAGTGGTAGAGTGCTTGCCTAGCATGCATGAAGCCCTGGGTTCCATTCCTCAGTACCATATAAACAGAAAAAGCCAGAGTGGTTATGTGGTTCAAGTGGTAGAGTACTAGCCTTGAGCAAAAGAAGTTCAGGGACAGTGCTCAGGCTCTGAGTTCAAGCCCTAGGACTGGCTAACTAACTAAATAAATGCAGTCGTTATTGTTATTGTTGTTATTATTTTGGTGTTAACTGGGGTTTGAACTCAGAGGCTTATGCTTTCTAGGCAGGTAAGTCTTCTACTTTCTTGAGCGATCCAACTGCCCTTTCTAATTATTTTTGAGTAAGGTTTTTTTTTTTTGTCCAAGGCAGTCTGGGATGACACTGTGCCCAGTGTTTTTCTGTTTTGTTTTGTTTTTGTTTCTCTTTCAGTGCTAGGGTTTGAATTTAGAGCCCTCTATCTGCTAGGCAGGTACTCTATCACATAAGCCATGCCTCTAGCCCCCAGCTTTTTATGAATTAATATAGGATCTCATGAACTGTTTTATCTGAGCTAACCTCAAACTGTAGTCTTACCGATTTTAGCCTCCCAAGTGGCTAATATTGGAAGTGATTCGCCACACTTGGCATAATTCTTACTTAATTTTGTTTTGAGTTTTCAAATAATAGTATTAACCATCTTTACATACTCATTAGCAGTTTTTTTTCCCTTAAAAAGCAGAGCTGTGTAGCCAGGCACCTGTAATCCTAGTTACTCAGGAGGCTGAGATCTGAGGATTACAGTTCAAAGCCAGCCTGGGCAGGAAAGTCCATGAAACTCTTATCTCCAGTAAACCACTAGAAAACCGGAAGTGGTGCTGTGACTTGAGGGGTAGAGCACTTGCCTTGAGCTGAAGAGCTCAGGGACAGCGCCCAAGCCCAGAGTTCAAGCCTCACGACCAACCCCCTCCCCCCCCCCCAAAAAAAAAAAGCAGAGCTGTGTAAGTGCTGTCTTTAGGCTTGACATATTAAAAACAAATACCTTCCCCCTCCCCCAAGGTATAACCCCTGCTTTCACTGTATTTGATGTTAGTATAATTTGTGGAGGGGAAGGGAAAAAACAAATCGTTTAAATAGGGATACAGGTGGACCCATTGCAACAATGAGATGTACAAATCATTATGTCGAAAAACAAACGTTACAACTTTGGCGGAGGGGGGGTATAAGGGGAGTGGGGGGAGGGGGAAGAGAAGGGAAGGGATGGGAAGGGGAAACAAAGGAGGAGGCAACAATGCTTGATAAGAAATGTACTCATTATCTTGCCCATGTAATTGTAACCCCTCTGTATGTATGGTATTTTCACAATAAGAAAACACCTAATTTAATCATCTCTGCTTATGTTTTTCTGAAAATACAGATCACTTTCATTATGTCCATTTTGTTACTACCTGACATTCACAAAATCTTGGTTTAACCTTCCAAATGATGCTGGGATTACAGAGTACACCACCATATCCAGCCAGCCTTAGTTCTTAATATTTTCATATTATAATATCATATTAGTTTGTGACTTCTTGTATATTTTGATGCTCTACAGTATATTTTGATGCTTCCAGTCCATTTTTTTACCAGCTAATTAAAGATAGACTCTTGTGGACTTTTATTCCTTCAAACCAGTCTTTAGATCTCAACATCCTGATTAAGTAGGATTACAAG